GTGGGGAGATTGATACGGACCTGGAGAATCCCCAGTGCTTGGAATGGCTCGATTTGACCCAGAAATGAGCTAGGAAACATTTTGAACGCCCAGGCGATTTTGCGCTACAGTGATCCCAACACCATTTTGCAAATCTATAGCAGCTGGGGAATTATTTTGGGAAATGGTTTGCTGAGGTTGGTGCGCAATTGGAAGGCGCATCTTTTGGTAGTGGTCCGATGGGTTTTCACCGGCGGAAGGCGGAGCAGTGTGCATTAAAGCATGACAGCATTACTGTTCACGGCAGTCGCACTGTACGGAGAGCTGACCCACATAAAAAAGAGTGGGTCGGATCGGTTAAATGGGTTGAAATTTACCCAAATACAATTTCAGCCCCACTGAGCCACGTGGACAAATGAAAGAATGTCACACCATTTAATGAGAGGCCCACATGAAAGTGCCATTAGTCACAGGGGTAATTTTGACAATAGAATAAATGTCCTATATATTTTCAGACGGATAGATGGACGGAAGTTTTTTATAAACCATTTAGCATAGGATAGGGGTACTTTAGGAAACTATTAGCATAACATTGAAGGAATTATGAAGAAAAGAAGTTCAACACAACAGTAGGTAGGGAATAGGTGGAGATCAAAAAGGAAAAACAATGAGAAAGGGATGGTACGGTAATTGAGAACCATGAGATTTCAGGTTCAAATCCCGACGGAGGCAAAACACCAGGTCATTTTTCTCATTTGCCCTAGCCTTGGTGGACAGAAGTTACCTGGTACCTGTGCCGGTGGGAGATAGCAGGTACCTGGTGGAACTAGTCGAGGTGCACGCAAGCAGACGTACACCATGTTAGAAATATACTTTAGAAGCTGCTCTTAGTAAAATTATTTTATTGATTCAGCATAAGAGTTATTTACTACAGTAATTTAGTTTGAATTTGAAATAATTTTGAACTAGTTTTTAGGAGTGAGCTAATCTCTAGGAGTTTGTTATTTTCAGCATATTTTGTGCTTATTTTTAGGACTTTTAAGTTAGTAGTTATCTTATAAATTGTAGTCCAGATGCAGTTAATAATATAGAATTTTCAGCTTCAATTCCTTTTACATCTATTCCAGTATACTCTTTTTATTTTCTAGTTATCTTCCCCTGTTATTTCCCTTAGTTTCTTTTATCAAGAACCAACAATTGGTATCAGAGCCATCTTCTTAAGGGACCTGAGTAAAAATAAATTCTTGAGTTGAGATGGAGACTGAAACGAGTTTTTCTCAATTGGCTCCTCCAGTCTTTGATGGTGAAAATTACAAGCTGTGGGCAGTGAGAATGGAGAGTTACTTGGAGGCTTTAGATCTTTGGGAGGCCGTGGAAGAGGATTATGATATTCTTCCACTGCCTAACAATCCCACCATGGCCCAGATCAAGAGTCACAAGGAAAAGACAACCAGGAAATCAAAGGCGAAAACAACTTTATTTGTTGGTGTGTCTGCAACAATTTTCACCAGAGTTATGGCTCTCAAATCAGCAAAAGAAATCTGGGATTATCTGAAGGGAGAATATACATGAGATGAAAGAATTCGAGGCATGAAGGTGTTGAATTTAATAAGGGAATTCGAGTTGCAGAAAATGAAGGAATTTGAGACCGTCAAAGAATACTCAAATCGGTTGTTTGGCATTGGTAACAAGGTAAGATTGCTTGGTACTAAATTTAAAGATTCAAGAATTGTTGAAAAAAATTTGTTGCGGTGCCTGAAAAATATGAAGTATCCATAAGTATCTTGGAAAATACAAAGGATTTATCCAAGATTACCTTGGCAGAATTGTTAAATACATTGCAAGCACAAGAACAAAGGAGGCTTATGAGGCAAGATGGTATAGTTGAAGGAGCCTTGGCAGTCAACCACAAAACTCAAAGCAAGGGTAATAATGCAAAGAAAAATTACCCACCTTGTTAGCATTGTGGCAAAAAAGGTCATCCACCATTCAGGAAGAGGCCAGATGCAAAGTGCAAATTTTGCAACCAACTTGGTCATGAAGTTGTAATTTGCAAAGGCAAATCTCAAAAAGCATGAAGTAGATGCCCAAGTCGCCAATGAAGAAGAAGAAGATCACTTGTCTGTGGCAACTCTTATTTCAACCAAGAAATCTGATTTTTGGATGATTGATAGTGGTTGTACAAACCACATGACATATGACAGAAATCTTTTCAAAGAATTCACGTCTATGGGAAATAAGAAAGTTAGAATTGGGAATGGTGATTATATTCTTGCTAAAGGAAAAGGAACCGTTGCAATCCCAACAAATTCAAGTACTAAGAAAATTTCAGATGTTCTTTATGTTCCTGATATTGATCAAAATTTATTGAGTGTTGGACATCTAATGGAAAAAAGATTTAAATTATCTTTTGAAGATAAACATTGTTTCATTTATGATGCAACTGGACTTGAGATTTTAAGGGTTAAAATGAGAGGCAAAAACTTCTCATTTGATCTAACAGACGATGAAAAATAGAGCCAAAATAATCTACAAAGTACACATAATCCTCCAACTGAGGACAAAGTTGTCAATATTTCAAAATAATAAAATTTGGAAGAAAGTTGACAAGCCTCAAGGCAAAATGCAAATCTGGAAGAAAGTTGACAAGCCTTAAGGCAAGATGCAAATGAAGCCGAACAAAGAGCCAACTTATTTCATTGACAATCATGAGATGCAGCAAAATAGAAAAGTGAACTCAATTTACTGCAAGTCCAAAGATCAGTTACTTTCAAAGTCACTTCCAGTTAAAAAGATTACAAGGCATAAATTCAGAATTTGCAGCTTCAAAAGCAATGAAGAGTGTTAGAAATATGCTTTAGAAGCTCTCAGTAAAATTATTTTACTGTTTCAGCATAAGAGTTATTTCTTGCAGTGATTTAGTTTGAATTTGAAATAATTTTGAACCGGTCTTTAGGAGTGAACAAGTCTCTAGGAGTTTGTTATTTTCAGCATATTTTATGCTGATTTTTAAGTCTTTTAAGTTAGTAGTTATCTTATAAATTGTAGTCCAGATACAGTTAATAATATAGAATTTTCAACTTCAGTTCCTTCTACATTTATTCCAGTATACTCTTTTTATTTTCCGATCATCTTCCCCTGTTATTTCCCTTAATTTCTTTTATCAAGAACCAACACACCACAATTATCCAAAAGAGAGAGAAAGGGATGGTACAGTGATAAGATTCAACCTTTTGATGGAATAGGGTCACTTCCGGTCTCCAGCCGACAAATGTTTTTTGATCTTTTAGAAAGATTTTGTTTTATTACTTGAAGAATAGAATTTTATATGTTAATCAGACAAACATCTTACTGTCTTTTTCTTATACGCACCCAAGTTTCTAAATGAGGCAAAGCCATGATATTAGATCAGTTAAAGGTTTTGGGTTCAGGTCAGCAGTGTACTAGTCATACAAAATAAATAGCAGGAGAACCAATGGAAAAACAAACTGCAACATTATCGATTTTTCCACCATGCATGACCACTTAACAAAATCTAAGCTCTTTGAGGTTCCACTTGCACCAAAGCACATTGCTATAATAGGGAACAAACTTGAAGAAAAAACAAAAGCAAAAATAAGAATTTTTGCATTCCCAATGCTTAAGGCCGCTACACCCTCCTGTGCTATGAACTAAACTGTCCCTCTCCCAAAATGACCAACTTCCCTCCCTCCCTTAGTCACATGGCTAAAAGGCACCTACACCAATCTCTTGCTCACCTATAAGAATCACACATGTTGAAAATTGGACATCTGCCATATAAATGTCGAAGTTTTCCTGTTATCATTCTTCTAAGCCCACACACGTTTCCACCACACGTCTCCACGACTCCACCATTCAGCTCGCAAGTAAATGTATTTGGAGACACAAGGGACATAACTTCTGAAATATTTTTCATTCTTCTTTTTAGAGAGTCTTACGATCTTGTTGTTTTCATTCGGCTTTTTTTTTATGACCGAGAAATCTATCCGGAGGCGATTCTTTGGACTAACCGCAGCCTTCAAAACTCGGTGGATAATGGGTCCGCCCCTCTACCCTTCTCCACTTAAATACCAGGCTTTGTTTTGCATGGTGTGGGGGCTTGAACCTGTGACCTAAGACACAAATCCACCACCCTTTGCCACTTGAGCTAGGCCCTGGGGGCTTTTCATTCGGCTTTTATATGGCTTTTTGGTGCTATCCTTCTTGTCTACATTTTCATTAATGTGGTGCTTATGTTTTTCTGAGCTGAAGATCTATTGGAAACAACCTCTCTATCCTCACAAGGTAGGGGTAAGGTCTGCGTACTCACTACCTCCCCAGACCCCATGGTGTGGGATAATACTGGGTATGTTGTTGTTGTTGTCGGTCTTCTTTTTAGAGAACTGCCTTCAGGGACCAAAACAAAATTTTACAGTCTCACATATTTCCAGATAAGGCAGCACAAACAAGTTATATAGACATGTTAATATTTAATACATAATTTCAAGTAGATAGCATTGTGGCTGGATGACTCGATGCTCTCTCACTCTTCCTTTGCTCTTTCTCTGTTGCGACCCTTTTTGTTTTTATAACTGAAAAATCCCAAGGGTCAGTGGGATACAGTTCGAAACTCGGTGGATAATGGACACCTTTCTCCATTTAAATACCGTGCTTTTGTCTGCGGAAGAGTTCGAATCGTGGTGTGCGCCTAACCCACGTACCATTTGCTATGCTCTTACCACTACCAAAGCTTGGGGCTCAAATGGGACCCATTCTTCTATAGTTAAGAAATAATTAATTCAATCTTGAATCCACAGTGGAAAAATTACACTTGCAACTTATTTTATTTCTTGATGTGCTTAAGACAAAGCTGAAAACAAGTCATAGTGCAATAGTGACCTCTATCTTGAAAAACCATTTATGTGTGATCATAGGCAGCAGAGTTGGGACACTATCTTTAAAAACTTTTATGTTTCAGATGTTTTATCTTTTAAACGAAGGAAACACAGACAGCAGATGTTCAGACAAGGAATCAGTTAGTTCAAACAACCTATCTTAAGCTCAGGAAAAGAGTAAAGCCATAAATGAAAACAAGGAACAGCTATTTTACTCACAATGCCATTTCGGAACTCCCCAGGAATGTTCATTTGTACCCACAGAGCTTTCCCTAACAAATATACAACAAAAAGCACCAAGAGGTAGAGCGGATTTCTGTGACAACAGAAACTGAATTAGCTTGAAGAGAACGTACAGAATAAATAAAGAAAGTGCAATAGAAATAAAAACCTTAAAAGAAGCATGAATTCGTTGAAACCGAGTATAATCATAGCCATTATAGCCCAGGCAGGAGGTAACAAATTATTGCTTTGCCTGTATGCTTCCTGAAGGGGAAAAAAAATTGACGCATCAAAAGAGTCCTAGCACTTGAAAAATATCATATCGCACTAGTCCTTCAATAGGTGAACAGAGGAAATTGAGAAGCAGAAAAACTTTGTTAATTAGTACACTCATTAAAAGAATAAGAACAATAAGAAAGATACACATTTAGAGTGACATACAACACATGGAAATAGATAAAAGGCACAGAGAAAAAGCAACCATGCACGAAGTATACAATATAGAATATGCAAAAGTCCTGCATTTGCAGTTCAGCAACGGGAGAACTTCCAGATGGATGAGAGAATGAGACAAGAAAAAAACCCTATGGATCGTCCAGATAATGCATTACAAGAAAGCACAAATCATAGGGTAAACAGGAAAAAGATCCGTAGGAACCACCTAAATCGATATCTTCAACAAGGACGCAAGAACACATTAACCAAGCAGTAAGCAAGTCTTTATGCATATCCACATCAGTGGACAAAGCTTTTCAATCAATTAATCAACCAATCAACTGTGCCTCAATCACTGAATGAGGCTTTTGCTTGAAAAATAAAATGTCTTAGATGGAGCCTCTTTTAGGTATCCAATGAAGTGGGAATAGTCATTCATTCTCTTTTTCCTTTGTTTTGCAAAAGAAGACTGTCATTAACACTTCATTCCTGATGGTATTCGGAGTGATCATTGTTAATACTGTATTAATCCACGAGGAAAATTGAAGGATTCTATGTGGACGATCCAACGAAGACTAGCAAGCTTAAAAACGAGGCTTGGATGTTGGGCCCCATTATTTGAATCTTGACTTGCCACCCACTCTCCCAACCTCTCAAAAAAAAAAATCTGAGACTGTTTATTTTTCTTCCACTTTGCTGCTGTCATTGTGTCTCCACCCACATCATATTGCAAAAGCTAAAATTTTATTAAAAAGGGAAAATCCTTTTGCCAGATGAAATTAACTCTCCAATTGGGAAACAATCAATGATAGCTTATGGGTGCCACTGTGTACCAAACTGTTAGCATTAGGTACTTTTGTTTCAGTAGAAGAGAGAGCAGCAAGAGTGCGAGCAAGGGCGGGCCTCTGCTCTTGCTTTTTTAGTCTTTGTATTTGGCAGGGACCAAGTATGCTGGGAGCATTGAGAGTGCAATAGATTTTTGCATTTGAGAGTGCAGTAGATTTTTGCAATAGAAGAGAAACCTCTGCTGCACCAGCTAAATCATAGTCAATTTGATTCAATCAAAATGACGTGTAGTAGATATACGCACAGACACTGGATGGCACTGGAAGTATGGGAGAGAAGAACCAAAGCCAAATATAGAAGAAAAATTCAGAGTTTCCTGAGATAAGAACATTGGTGCTTTTTTCCAGTCGGTGAGTACTGAAAGAAGGAACTGGTGGACCCAAGAGCAGAGCAAGACACGGGGCAAGAATTTTAAAGCAAAAAACAGGTAGGACAGCCAAAAGCAATATATATTCTTTACCTGTGCTGAAATAGCTTGAGTAACAGTATACTCTGTTTCTGCCATGAATTGCCTCCACAACGATTTGCACTGCACTGGTGTGAGCAATGTGTTCTCTCGTGAAACCTAATAAACATTTTACTGTAGTGAGAAATTTATTGGTGAAAGCCAAAAAGATACAACTGCTAACGTGAGTTCATTGGACCTCTTCCCATGAGCTTGAGGCAAGAGGATCACCAGAATCTCCACGATCCCTATCCCGAATTGAAAATGTCCCTTCCAAGAGTCTAGAAAAAAGTATGCTTTCTATTCTGTCTGGTTTTTCATCCAACCGTATGGCAGCCACTACGGATAAAAGCTTCAGAGACTGCTCCAGATAGAAGAAAGAAATGATAAGAAACTCCTTGTTTTGGGAACAGCAAACACAAAGTCAAACAGTTCAAGAAGAAGCGGAGAAAAATCAAATCCTTGCAAATACCTCAGAGCGGGACTCCTTTGTTATTGATTTAATGTCCTCCTTCCCTGTCCAAAGCCTTGGCATTGAGTCACTATCATGGCTGAACACAGTATTAAACCTAAAGTCCGAAGCTGTCAGTAACTTAAAGGTTAAGACAACAGAAGATCAAAACAAAAAAGAGTAGATTTCGTCTACCTATCCTTCATTCGCATCAAAACTTTTCCAGCTTCTTCTCTTGCTTTCTTCTCTACAACACTTCTAGCGTAGTCCTTCAGATTTTGCATCATTCTGTCAAATGTATCCTGGTCCAACTCAAAGCCGGAAAGAGCCGGGGAGAAGCACGATATGGCCACATCAGTCTCGCGTTTTAGAAGCTTTCTTATTGAAGCCCATGTGTCACTCCCCCCAACCTCAAAAAGGGATTCTATGGGTTCAGCAAGTGCAGCTGTGATTTGTTTCTGTCAAATAAAATCTGGCTAAGACATGCGTCCTCTAAAATTATTGATTTATTGAAGAAGTAATAAAAGGAACCAAAATAAACAAAATCGACAACTAATGAAATTTTCGCCAAGCACCAACAGTGGATTTTCTGCACTAGGAAACTTACCTCATAAGTAGCCTTCAGATTGGACAACTTATCATTACGAACAGAGGATGCATGGGCCTCAATATCACGATGAAGTTTGTCACGAACTTTTGAAGCATCCCAATTAGCATGTCTTACGGCGGCATCTGAAATTGGTAAGAAAGAATCTCAAGTTAAGGGAGCAAAATGATGGGGATAAACTTCCATCTCAATTACCACCAATACTTCGAGCCTACTTGGCCAAGCTTCTAAAAAACTGCTTATTTTGGAAGTGTTTTTATCAAAATAGCTTTTCAGAGAAGTGTTTTTAGAGAAACAATTTGTGTTTGGTCAATTCATTTGAAAAGAGCTTTTTTCAGTATTTGATAAAAAGATTGGGTTTGGCCAATCTTTCCAGAAAGTACTTTTGAGTATTAAATTACGAAAAAAAATGGTATTAAGGTTCATTCGCAACTAGTATTATTTAACTAGATAAATGAATTTAAATATTTTTTATTAAAGAATTTAGTTAAGTTTTAATTTTTATTTAGTTAAAATTTAAAACATAAAATAAAAAATATATATTAAGGTTTTAAATCAATACAAATATAGTAAAACACAAAAAGGAAAGGGGAGAAAAGATTTGTATTTGTAGTTGAGAAATATATCGGTTAAATTAATGAGAGGTAGCTTGGTAAATATAAACTTTTGGCAGGTATAATTTTGTCTTGGGAAAAATAATCTTATGCTTCTGCTGCTTCTGTAGCTTCTTCTCCCTAACAGCAAAAAAGATGCTTCTACTCCTGCACAAAAGCACTTTTTTGTTTCTGGCCAACTTCAAATATGCAAAAAAGGTGCTTTTGGCCCAAGAGAAGTGTTTTCGGCTCCATGAGAGCTTGGCAAAACAAGCTATTATAGTCTAGCGGTATCGGTGTGAGTTTTCCACACAATATTCAATTTTCATTGTTTCCTTCGCCGTCGTTTCCACTTTCCCCATGTAATAGAATATTTAGAAAACCAAAAAAAAAAAAAGATCTTTAAGAGTTACACATAAGCCCACAAAATATATAATTCCATTTTAATTGATTCTTAAGAACTCACACAAAAGCCANTCCACCCCAGAAAAAGAAGGAACCATGTGAGCAACCACTTTCTAAAGTACCTAAATCGCTTGTCCAACTTTTAACCACATTGCACATAAACAAGCCAAGCTTTATTAACCCCTTCCAGGGGAAGGCACTAGTGATGTGCTTAATCATAGTAACTACTTCACTAGACGCTACACAAATACCAGCAACAGGAAGAAGTGTTAGTATCTCATACATAATTGACCATACTTCACCATACCTTGGAATCACACGGATCTATTAGCTTAAAAACTAAAAACTGAGTCTAAAAGATCAAGTAAACCATATAACTAGTATCACTATCCCAGGGGAAATTATAACAAAAAAATGTCCATAGATACTCGAGTCATTAAAAAATTGCATAGAATATTTTAAATGATTTTCCCTGAATGTTATAAGAATCATCATGAGCATCGTGTATATAGTTCATAATTATGTCATTACACTTGGGAATCCTAAGAATAGATTTTTTTTTTCTTTTTACGTAAATCTGAAATCCTATGTAAGGAGCCATTTGTATTTAATTTACCACTGGATTCGATGAAAATTTTCTCTCTTCTATACTCTTTTTACATGGTATTAGAGCCTCTACGATTTTACTAGAAACTTAAGTAGTTTTCGCCCAACGGTGGAGGGACTTATGTCGTCTTGCGACAAAAGTTTTCATTGTTTTCTATCTTTACTGTCGGCTCCTTTCCTGATGATTGTTCTGACAGCACCCTGCCTCTTTGAATGACCATTCCAGCAGCTCACATCTCTTTCCAGCCTCAACGCCTCTTTCTGCCACTATCTTGACTAATCATTTCTTTTTAAATAATAAGGCACTATCTCGTCTAATCATGGGGCAACTTAACCAGTAACTTTTACAGTCACTCTTCATCCGCCAATTCAAGCTACACCAATGACGTCCTACGGTTTTGCATAACTCTATTTCTTTTTTATGATAGAGAATATATTTCTTTCTGTGTTGCTGCAAGAAGCACATACTTTCAGCATGGAGACTAGCAACCTCCCTTGATAAAAAATTTCCATAACCCTTTCGCTCACAGTGATTGTTCACCATTTTGGCATTATTGGCGACTGTTCATTATTCCTCTTGTTGTTTGTGTTTCTTAATATCAAATCAGAAGACACGAGCTGCTTCACTACCTTGAGTTTGAGGAAAAATGTCGAAATTAGGGGAATCATTAGAATATCATGTAAAATATATTTAATGACTAATATTGCTATAAGCGATAAGAATACGGAGCAGAATGTTATTAATAATCACGCAAAAAAGTTAGGAATCTTAAGAATTATGATTTTTTTAAATCTCGTTTAGCTTAAAACTCCCTACTTAACAACCTTCTTATATGTTTCTAACCACCAAATTCAACAAGATCTTTCTCTCTTTTCATAATGCATTATGGATTTTAAGTCTCGTCCGGCATAAAGATACTGAGCTATCCTCTCTTACCTCTTTCTTTAAATACCCTTTGATGAAGTGTAGCTCACAGAAAAGGTTAAAAGAGTTTTCCATTCTACTGGATAGGCAAGGATTACTGAATGGGGGAAAGAAATGAGGAGTAACTGGGGGAACTATCTCACTAACACCCCAACATCTTGAAACTGACTCTATGCGAGCTAAACAGCCATTCAGTAAAGAACAAAATTTACATGGTGAAGCATCAATTAGATAAAGACTGGCTAAGGAAAAAGCACCAAAGTCAGTAAGGTGCTTTGTCATTCAGAACATGGTTGGTTTCTATGTTTGACCTTCTTCATACTTCACACATCTTTTTTTTTCTTTTAAGGTTGAATTGAATAGAAAGAAGTTGAAATTGGCAAAATCGGAGACTTAGCATTTCAAATCTGATGTAGAAGTACCTGAACATCCTTTATCAAATTCAATTATAGTAGAGTCGGCACATTTACGAACAGATGCAGCAAATGCTTCTCCTCTGCGTAATGATTGTTCCAGCTGAGTCTTAAATGCTTCAAGCGATTTATCACGTAGATGCCCCAACTGTGAAATGAAAGCAGGATGGACCAACTGCAGAAAGCTTTGCATGATGAGCATGTAAAATAATGGTGAATATCATAAAACATTACAACATATTCCTGTTTTATATCAGCACTTAAATGCAATAAAATTCTAACTCTTACCTTACTACCATGCACAAATAGAAGAAGGCACCTAAACCGACACACTAGAAATAGCGTTGCCCTATAATGAGACATTTATGCGTACAGACAAAACGTACACTCTGGTCAGAGGAAAATGTAAATGGATCAGAGAATGCCCTGGAAAGTAGACATTCAGGGGAATGAACTCTTTACATCGTTTGGTTGAAACGGTATATGGGAAGGAGAGGTAAAAGACAAGAGTAGCATGAAGAAGTATCACACAAAATATTTATTATATTCCAAAAGTATTAGATATAAAGAGTACAATGTTTAGGGTTGGTCTTAGATGGCTTGCAGTTTATGTTGGACCCACACTATTCTTGTTGTTTGTCTTAGCCCCGGGCCTTAGATTATGGTTACTGTTATTGCATGTCATTCATCTTTCGATTTTTATGTTTATGTTACTATTACGGTTTCTATTGGAGTTACTAATGAATTCTCTCCTCTTATTTATTTTTTTTACTTTATTTTCGTATTTCTGAGCCGAGGGTCTATCGAAAACAGCCTCTTTGTCCCTATCGGGGCAGGGGTAAGGTCTACGTACACATTACCCTCCCCAGACCCCAGTATGTGGAATTTTACTAGGTAGTTGTTGTTGTTGTTGTTGTTAATGTTTATGTTCTTAAAGGAGTAAGTAAAACTGGAATACACTAAGAGCCCTTTTGCTTCACCTTCTCTTAACCAAATGACATGGAGATAAAGCTACTTAGTTCCTTAGCTGTAAAAGATTATCCTTTCTCTTCCTATGCAAAATCTAACATGTTTAAGAATATATGCACCGTTTCCCCACTTCCAGAGTGGTAAGACAGTGTGGAGGCTCACATCACGTAAATTTTGCAATTCCTGGCTAACACTTAGATCTTGGTCAAGAAAATTCTTCTAGAGTATTATTCTGGTATACAAGTCGTGAACCATGATCATTCTATCCAGTAATCTGAAAAAACTTACAAGAAGCGCAAGAAGAGTGTAGGCAAAGATATAATTTACAAAGACCCCTCTGGAGGAGATAAAAACAACTACCTACTTAGTACAAAGGGGGTAAAAATGAAACCAAGAAAACAAAGAAGAAACTAATTTTCGCAAAAAGAGACAAGTGAACAAGATGAGGAACTAGCAAAAATAAAATTATGCAGTATAAGGAAATGATTCTCCCGAGAACCGGTAACAGAAGTTCCTCAACAACAACAATAATGACTCAGTAAAATCCCACAAAGTGGGGTCTGGGAAGGGTAGTGTGTACGCAGACCTTACCCCCACCCCGATAGGGCAGAGAGGTTGTTTCTGACGATAACAGAAGTTCCTCATGGGTAAGAAATTCATACAAAATTACTGATCAAATTACCAAAGAAGACAGTCAAAGACTAAAAATAGATCCCATGCAAATTCATGAGATAATTTGTCCATGAAACAGTACAACAATTGCAACACAACGTTAACCAGAACTCACTTGCAAAGCTTTCGATAGAAACTGTTGACGTTTTAAACTTCTCACATTTTCTTCAAAGAAGACAGACTCAGCATCATATCTGTTAAAAGAGAAAAAAGATCATTCAAAGCATCAGAGCTACAGCTCACATTGGAGAAAAAACAAGAATTTTACCTCCAGCTTAACATCAAATTTGGAAGTTCAAATGCATCACGTGCATATTTATTTCATATGGGAGCACATAGGAAATGGTTCAGTTAAGTTCTTATGTCAATGTAACCCATCACAATGCTTATCCTATGTTTAGAACCTAAAGAAAGGAAGAAGAAGTTTGAAACTTTTCTCTTTCCTTGTCTCGTTTCAAATGGAAGAAAAAGGAAAGAAGTTAATTCCCCAGTTTTTTCACACTGCTTCTCACGCTATGGGAGCTGGTCATGCCCGAAACTACAATAAATTCAAAGACGGGGGATGGCATTGTTTCAGTGTACCCATCAGAAGTTTCCTCCTTTTCTGGGTAAATGTTATTCCAGTACCTTTCCTTTTGGAGCTCCCAGGGGTTTGGTCTAGTAGTAAGAGAGCAGCACGTGATGTGTGGGTTAGACGCGCATCACTTTTTCAACCTTACCACAGACAAAAGCTTGGTATTGAATAGAAGAATAAGAGGCAGACCCATTGTCCCCGGAGTTTTGAGTTGTGCGCCACTGCCCTGGGGGATTTCTCGGTTATAAAAAAAGTTAATTTGCTCTTTTGGAAGAAAGTCGTTTTCAAGGATTCTATATAAATTTCTCCATAAAACGGAGATAGTCCTTCCATATAAATGTAACACTAGTGGAATGCCTATGCTTTACTGTTTTGAAGGCGGAGAAAAGGTTATTATAAATAAGCGGACCATAAATCCAACTTTCAGTTTCAAACTACTTTTGATCAGTAGGAAGAATCTAAAAATAAGACAGTTTAAATTAGAGCAACTTTTCAAACCCCTCCGAGCACTCATCTTTATACCAGATGTGTGGTGTCACTTCAGATAGTTATGTTTTTAGATCAGACATTTACTTTTCAGTACCTCACCACGTATTGCTACAAAACTACAATGCTATCGCACCCCACATCAGAATTCTCTTAGTAGATGCAGGCCACACAGTCATTCAACAACGCTCCTGGAGAAAAGAATGGTTATGCCCTTCCTCTTTTTTGTTGTTAGTGTTAGTGATCCAACTATTATAGTTAATGAAGAGTCCCTCATCAGTGCTTTAAGGGATGGGTGGTCTCCTTAATATGGCTTGGACAATCCTCACCTCGTGAGCTAGCTTTTGGAGTTGAGTTAGACCCAAGGTCCATTTAACATGGTATCAAAGCACCTGGGTTCGAGTTTCACCGCCACCCAATATTAAAAAGAATTTTCACGTGCTTGGCTCATAAAAAAGAATCAAGCCCGCATGTGAGGAGGCATGTAGAAGACATAATTAAGCAAATAAAAGTGTGCTCTTTCTAATAGCTTAAGCCTTTAGATGAGATGATCACACATCTCATCGGTTAAACACCTATCCACTTACTCTGACAGAAAGTCATCTAAGATGGAGCTCAGTCGTCTTCCAAAATTTCGAACCGCATCCTCATGCACTTCATGCTCGAGAGCTCGCCAGTCCTATATTGAAGTAAGGAGGATTGAGCACTTTATATTTCTGATCGAAACAGGAAAAGTTATAAAGCAGCCGCGAGACCTCATTTATCATCAAGCTACCGAACTTCTCATTTGCAATTTCTTCACAACGCACAGTTGCCACCATGACCTACAAAAGGCAAGTAATTTGGTCATTATATCACTGAAAAAATAAGCTGTCTGCTCAGTGCTCATTACCAAGCATGCTTCACCTTGTGAGCAGGCAAGTCGAGGTCCTTGTTTTCTTTGATAACCTTCCATATTTGCTGTGCACTGTAAGAAAAACCAGAGGCAGGAACAACACCCCGCCTATCACCAGCCAGGCCTCCTGGAGAGATAGAGTGGAAAAACTGCTGCCTAAGTTGGGCAACCTGAACGAATAACATACAAAGCCAAGAGACGTAAAACTCACCCGAGATAGGTAACCATTTGATTCACAAAAAGAAAAAAATCTGGCACTCAAAACAGCAGATATTGTGCAGCTAAGAGGAACTACCTGATTTTTAAACTGCTCTTCCTTCTCCTCGTAACTGGGTAGGGCAGTGACTTCTACCTTCACATCAGAGAAAGACAACGACAACAACAAGAACAACAAACTCAGTATAATCCCACATCATAGAGAAATACAAATTCTAATATGGACAGCTGTGCTGATAACATAAGAATGGCGAAAAAATGCTCACATTGAAAAATTCACTGAGGGGGGTGTCCTTGTGTGCTTGAGGCTTTCGAACTCCATCCCATATCTGCAAAATTAGTCACTTCTGATAAAGCTGAACACAATATATCAATTTTTTTCCAGATTATTTTTCATAGGAGTAGAGAGGAATAGACAAATTTAGTTTGAACAACGACAGCTTCAAAGCGACAGCAAATTCAGTTACCTTCTGGATATCCTCCCTCAGAATAGGCTCAAGATATTCTAGTGGAGTCTGCAAGGAAAGTTGAAACAAATCGCTAGCCAATACCCTTCTGGAACGTAAATAGTAAGGCAAAGTGAATCTTATAGCATCTTGAAGAGAAAGATATGCAAACCTTCGTTTTATCACGTATAACAAAAAGAAGGGTAGTTTTGCGTGGACTAAACAAACGCATCATGACCTACCAAATAAGAAAATAGGTTCAGTTAATTCAAGAATTTTCCACTTCTAAGTAGCCAAATAAACTAGAATTTACCTGAAATACTGTTTTGAGAAGAGGTTTATTGGCAGCCTGCTCCCTGCCAATATCATGGCACCACCTGAAATACCATAGGAGGAAAATCCCATTCAAAAAATGATTCCCTTAAGGGTGATTTAACCGATGGTACATGCAAAATTTTAAGAGGAACACAAACCCCCAAACAAGTAAATTTGTTCTTTTTTAGGGAAATTCTCATATCATGAATATGAAAAAGACTTTAAAAATAGCACACTTAGGAGAAAAGTTTAATTTCCTATGCCGCCACTTACAAGAGGCAGGTAACTAGAAGTTAAGCAATAAAGGACCCTCTAACAATGCACTCAGGTCCAAGTAGCCAATCATGTCATCTTCACAGCTGCCACATCTTCTGAATATACACAAGTTGTTAAAGGTAAGTGCGCCATCAGTTTCTCGAGAGGCAGAAAGACTAAAGCCAGTTACAGTTCTATCAAGGTGTCAATCATATGTTATTCTAAGAAAATCTAGAGGTTATGTCAAGGAGCCCAGAAAAGACAGTCAAGGATGTCTATTCAAACTAAAGACAGTGAATAATCCAGCGCCCCACAATAAGATTTAGATGAGCTAGTTAACTTCACTGTTCTCAGTCATCAAACATCAGGCTACAAACTAACTCACATGTTTATTAGTACGACATCTGCAACAGCCAAAGCAAACAACGCACTTTGTTTCTCGAATGTTGTATCGTCCTGCAACCAAGAATTTCCACCAAAGTAAGATAATGTAGGGCACATTAAGTTAATTCTGATGGGAAAAGCAATCATCTGCAAGCACATATATTTCAGAATATGATGCATGTGCATTTGTAAGCCAAGCTTAATAAAACATTTATATCCATTCATAAATGCAATAATTACATCCTCTAAAGAAAGGCGCTTCATTGATAATCTGAGTGCATGAGTTGGTATGGATCACACAGACAAATACTAACTATATCCAAAAGAAAGGTAAATTGGAATGACAAACACCACAAATATTAACATCATTTATGGACTGCAATCCTTGGGATTCCGCTACTTTGCGGGTTTCATTGATAATTATTCAAGGTGCACTTGGATATTCGTGATGAAAAATAGATCCACGTTGTTGTCACTTGTCCATTTTCAAACATTGCCTACTGAAATCCAAAATCAAACTTAGGGTTTGTATCCGCACTTTCATGGTGATGATGCACGAGGATATTTATCTTCTCCATTCAGCATTTGATGAACTCTCATGGGACCATGCATTAAACGGCATGTTCTTACACCTCCCAAAAAATTGGGTAGTTGAGAGGAAGAACACTCATCTCACTGGAACTGCTCACACTCTACTCGCACAATCTCATGTTCCTTTGTCTTTTCAGGATACCGTTCTCACATCTTGTTATCTTATTAATCGCATGCCGTACTATCAAAAATCAGGTTTCACGTTCTATTCTATTTTTTACATTTACCTCTATATTTGCTTTCTCCACGTATCTTTAGGAGTACATTTTTGATTCATAACATAACCCTTGAAAGAGATAAATTAGTCTCTCATGCATTTAAATGAGCGCTTTTTGCATACTATCAGTTCAGAAGGGATGTCATTGCTAATCACCTAAAATCCATCGATACATTATGTATGTCAACATACCTTCTTTGAAAATCACCCTTATAGCCGGTTTGGCCAAGCTTTTAGAAGGGAAAAAAAGTACTTTTAAGGAGAAGCAAAAGTAGTTTTTGAGAAGCAAAAACAAGTAACTTCTCTTCAAAAGCACTTTTCTGAGAAGGATTTTTGAGAAAAATACACTTAGAAGCAGTTTTCAAAAGCTTGGTCAAACACTAATTACTGCTCAAAAGTGCTTTTCAATTAATTAGCCAAACACAAGCTGTTTCTCACCAAAAACACTTTTTTAAAAAGTACTTTTGAGAAAAACACTTCTCAAAATAAGCTAATTTTAGAAGCTTAGCCAAACAGGCTATTATTTACACCTTCTTCCTTCAACCATCTCCATATATCTATGGTCTCACCTACACTAACTTTTGGAGATCTTATCATTACCTCAAAAACATCTCCTTCTACAGCTCCATCACACTTACTTTTCGTCAACGTCGTACGTCAGGTCTAGATGATTCATGCCCAAAACCAAATAAATTGCTTGTTGTGGATCTATCTCCTTCACATAGTCTCCCAATGCCTATTCGGAATGATATTTGTTCTATCGTAATCCTAATCCCACTTATAGCTTTCTGAGTTTTTATCGCATGTCATCACCACGTTATGCTTTTGTGTCGTCTTTTTTTTTATAGTCATGGTTAGGGGTGTTCATAAAAATCCGAAAACCCGAACCAAACCGAAAGCCAAACCAAACCGACCAAAAATACCAATACTTTTTGGTTTGGTTTGGTTTTGGTTTTGAAATTTAAAAACCGATCAAATTTGGTTTGGTTTTGGTTTTAATTAAAAAAAACCGAACCAAACCGAATATAGGAGTAGCTATTTTTAAATTTATTATTACACCTTATATATGTATAGTTTTATACAAAGTTTTAAAAAATTTTATACCAAATATTAATCGTTTGCACTTTTAGTACAGTTCTTTACCTTTACATTCTAGTTTAATGGGTAGTTTTCTTTTGTTAAGTGTAAGAATCTATTTCATGTTAAATATATATTTTTAATTGAGTCCTTAAATTATTCATCACTATTTGATTCAATTATCATCAATATATCTTGGTAAATAATAGATTTCTCAAAGGGCAATTGATTTGATAGTGTTACGTTGAAAATGTAGTCGTCGAAATGTATGTTTGGTAGTGTATGTCTTATATTTAAGAAAAAAATCGACAAATAACCGAAGAAACCGACATAAACCGAATCGAGAAAAAACCGACTTAATTGGTTTGGTATGGTTCTAATATTTAAAAAACCGACTTGCTTGGTTTGGTTTCTTTTTAGGGAGAAACCGATCCAAACCGAACCATGAACACCCCTAGTCATGGTGTCTGGGTTGGCTTGTACACACCTCAACTAATTCCAAGGGGCACCTGCTACTTCCCACCAGCACAGGTAGCAGGTAACTCTCCATCAAGGCTTGCATAGATGGGAAGAAATCACCGAGTATTTTTCCCTCCCGAACCTGAGACCTTACGGTTCTCACTTTATCTTATATCTCTACCTAAGTCTAAAGGCGAAGCTTTTTCTCATTTCGATTGGAGACAAGGTGTGATAGATACTTGGGAATTCATTCGTCTATTTCCAGGAAAATACATTGCCAGTTGTTGATAGGTGTATAGAGTGATAGAGAGAAGATTTCTCCGGATGATCAGATTGAATGACTTAAGGCACATCTTGTCAAAGCTTATAAGGCTATAAGAATTACTTCTAGCGACCTGTCCAGCTAGCAACACGCTGAATGACCAAATAACTCATTGCAAGTATATATCAGTTGTTTACTTTCTTCAACAACATAACGTCTAAGTTGTTCGGACTCTTCACTTTCGGTGACGTACTCGTGTCGACACGATGTGGGTGAGGGTGTGGGTGTGGATGCATATCGGATCTGGTCAATCAGTTTTAAGTACTTGACCAAAATTGCCGGAGAAATTTGGGGCAGTTACCATGATTTTTGAAATCAAAACAAAAGCTAGGGTGAAATTGAAGAAAATGGAATACCTTGTATATATGGATCTCTATGTCCAGACCTTTTCCTTTTACGGAAAAGGGTTAAAAATGCCCCTAAGGCTTAAACTATTGGAAAAGGTTTAAAAATACCCTTCATCCACCTATTGGACTAAAAATACCCTTCAATCCACCTTTTTGGTTCACTTATGCCCTTTGACCGTTAGGTCAATGGTGAATTAAAAATAATAATTATTTAAATTCCACGTGGCAACTTCTTATTGGTCGAAATTAAACATATAACCATATCTACCCGCTTTTAGGACTAACCCGCCCCAAATACTAACCCGACCCCAATAAAAAGTTCAACTGAGAAAAAGACGCCCCACTTCTTCAATTCCTCCTTACTGGTTATCTTTGGTAAGTTCTTTTTTTAAAATTAAAATTAGAACGGTCGTCTAATGGTTAAAATTTTACCCTATAATAGTTATGTAGGTTTCAATTTTATCAAAACACTCTTCGTACCTTGTCATTATCCCTATCTACGAATTCATTCTCATTCTTCCTTGTAAAAAAAATCAAACCCTAGTATGTTTTTTTCAATAACCTAATGCTACTTTCTTATAATTGTTTTTCTTCATCTCCACACTTGGTTATGCATCAGCTCATTTTTAAGAAGTTAAGCAATCATAATTCAATCCACATGGAATAATAGTTAATTACAACTCACAAGCACTATATATATATAGTGACGATAGGGATTTGTTTGGGGGACTATTTATTACTCCATTAGCTTAAGAGAATATCATCCATATCGCAATATTACATGTCCCACTTCTTCAATTCCTCCTTACTGGTTATATTGATTGGGGCGTCTTATTTTATAGTTGAACTTTTTATTCGAGTCGGGTTAGTGTTTGTGGCGGTTTAGTTCGAAAAATGGGTAGATATGGGCGGGTCTTTCTAATAGATTAGATGTTTTAATTTCGACCAATAAGAAGTTGTCACGTGGAATTTAAATAATTATTATTTTTAATTCACCATTGACCTGACGGTCAAAGGGCATAAGTGAACCAAAAAGGTGGATGGAAGGGTATTTTTAGCCCAATAGGCGGATGAAGGGTATTCTTAAACTTTTCCAATAGTTTAGGGGCATTTTTAACCCCTTTCCGTTCCTTTTATCTTCCTCTCGAATTCTCCTCTTGATCAATATTTTTCTCCTCCTTGGAATACCTTGTAAGTTTTCCACATAATGTTTCATAAGTTAGACATTTTTATAAATTTATTTTTAGATATTTGGCTTATTTTTAGCAGAATCCACGCACCCCGCACCCGTATCCATTCCCCCAAAACTTAAAATATCATGAAGGATCCGACCTCTAGATCCGCACCCATATCGGACACTCGCACCCCTGTCCGAGCAACTTAGCATAAGGTAACTTATTTCAGTTTGACATGTTCAGGACGTGCCATTCCTTTCTTTACAAGAATGCACACAGGATTGTACAAAGTGATCTAATGGTATGGTGTTGATACAATGTGACTAGCGGCATTTTATGATCTAAAATAAAGCATCATGTTGGTTTAACATGCTAAAAGAAACGACTACAAAATGCTTAATACCTCACCCCTCTCTCTTCCATCAGTACCCTCCAAATCCATGACAATGGTCAACGGCTCAATACCAATAGCCTTTGCTATCCAAATTCCCTTGGTTGTCTGACTCCTGAAATGAATTTTGAACAACATTAATTTTAGAAACTGAAATTTGAATTGACTATATTTCCTCATTTGGAAAATGTCAATTGCTGTTCTAATTCTTTTGTCCAAAAGAGAGGGAGGGTGCCTAAATACCTTCCTCTGAAAGCATCCATCTCCCTGAAATTGGTATAGAATAAGTGATTTAACAAGGTACTTTTCCCTGTGGACAGAAGTGCATTTATAATTAGCATTAATCATAAACAAAATTTTAAAAAGAAAATGGCAAAGAAAACACCATAATGAAATCTTAAAAAAAAAAGGGGGGGGGGAGGAAGGCAAATTCAGAAAAACCAGTCTATTTACAAAGCTAGAAAATACTTCCAAAAAACTCAAGAAAAAAAATGAAAATGGTAAAAGCTTACCACACTCGTATTTATACGAAACCAATATATAGGTATCCAAATATACTCTTATCACTAAATCATATATAGACACCTTAATTTAAAATTTAACCATGGTATATCAGGATATTTTAGTGCAAACACGGGTGCGGATAAGTTTTTACCAATGAAGATAACATAACAAGAATATAAAAATGAGCCAAACCCAACTTTATTAGATTATGTACTAATTAAGGTAAAACCATACTGGAAATGGAATATTATATGGGGTTTCATTTTTGGCAGTGAAAGGAGCCATGAAAGAAAAAAAAATTGATGAAAGCAACCCTTTCTTTTTCTAGTTTATCAAAATTGGCAAGCGAAATCTATAAAGAATTGAGAAAAATCAAAGCATACCGCTACTCTGCGGTCCCATAATAGCAACAACAGCATAAGAGAGACCGCACCGAGTAAGTTTGACAGTGCTGGTGAAGTTGTCGAGACCCTTCGCGTTGAATTCACCGTTCCCATCTATTAGCTGCGTTGAGCAAGAGTCCTCCTCCCTTTTGACAGGCATTGAAGCTTTTGCTTTGGTTTTTTATTCTTCAAGTTATTGTGTTACTGCAGAAGTTAAAAAGAGCAGAAGAATTATGGAGTTGCTATATTTATTAAGAGGTTTGTCTGAAGATTGCTTGAGAGGAGAGGAATTCCAGTAGAGAAGGTAAGCACATATTCAAGCCGCTTCTTTTTTCCCCTTCCTTTTTCTGGCTTGTTCCAGAGAGAGTATTACGTAGCCTTGGTTTACGCAGTGTCTTTTTTTCTTTTCTTTTTCTCCAAAGTAGTGATTTGATTTATTTATATTTTTGTAAAAGAAGTAACTTAAAAGAGAAAATGCATAAATACCCATTTAAATTGTCCAATGAAAATTATTTACACACCTAAATTTTATGCGTGTCCTAATACCCCACTATTGTTAAAACAATTATATTTATTTACCACCTCCTAAGCTCTGGCCCAACTATAATAAGTTGAGCGGGAAACACGCGCTTTTATTATGAAGCCACGTAATTAAATTGTTCAGTAAATAAAAATAATAGCCTTCCTCTATTTACGAACACTCTCATTCACCCCGTTAGTTAAAAATTCCCAAATTGAAGAACCATAATGCCCCACCTTCAAAAATTCGATTTGCCTCACCAAAATCGATTTGCCTAACCAAAATCGAAGGGGCCTGTTGCAAAATCCTTCGATTTCGTTATTCTTTAGTATTCCGTTTGTTGTTATTGTTTCTTTTGACGAGTTGGTGGAAGATCCATTCGAAGCTGACGGTCTCTGAAGAATCAAGTTCAAACGTTATCTCTGTTTTACTTTGGAGGTAAATCCATCAACCCTAGCCTTTTCTATCATCAACCCTAAATGTTATCTCTGTTTTACTTTGGAGGTAAATCCATCAACCCTAGCCTTTTCTATCATCAACCCTAAATGTTATCTCTGTTTTAGTTTGTTTAATATCATCCGTAACTAGGGTTTTGAACTTGCTTTAAATTTCTTCACTGTAACGTATTCAATGTAAAATCGAGTAACAGAAATACAATTTTTCAAGGCGTAATAATAACCAAATTTCAGTTTTTTCTTGTTGCATGTGTTGTCACTTGTTATGTCGGGGTCTAATGGTAACTATTAATCCTTAATTAGTTTATTTTCTACTATATTGAGGTATTTCAATGTCTTTTGTACTTGTTACACTGAGGTTTTTCCATGGTGAAAAAATCTCCATGGATAAGTTACATTCCTTTTCACTAGAGGATTATGTTGGTGGGATGATTACTGATTGTGTTGATGTCGATGTTGATATGTTCTCAAATTTTGAGTTTCTAGGTTATGTGAAAGAGTTTGGGTACAATAGTTCTTCTGTTATTTATGTTAGACTGCCTAATTATCTCGGTCTAGTAGTAATTAAGGTTGATAGGGACCTTATGAGTATTTGTGAAGAGCTAAAAAGTGGGCATATTTTATAGGTATATGTAGATCACATGATTGATGATGTTGTAGTAGTCCCCCCTCTATTAGAATATGTCATCCAAGTGGGGGTGATAGTAATGTTACTTTTGAGAAGGAATTTGGTCAAGATTTGGAGGGTTGTGAGGGTTTGGGAACTTCTGAAAAGGCATCCAATGTTGCTGAAAATAGTGCCAATAACAGTGTACCTACAGCTGTTACTACTGATGATTAATCAAACTCATTGAATCTAGCAGCAGCATTGCTAATAGCTCAGATTCAGAATATGAGGAGTTGTTTGAAGAAGGAGAAGTTGATTATGGCAGTGATACACATGAGGAGTACACGGCATTTAGGGCAGAAAGAAGGACTGTAGAGAGAAGGAAGAGGAAAGAAAGTGCTCCTGAACAAGAAAATGTTAAACTAGGTAGGAGAGGGCCAAGTATGTTGAATATGAATCTAGGAATAAGAAGAAGAAGAGTTTATAAGGTAAGATAGGTGGTGATGAGCCTTATTACTGTAAGCACGTGATTTTTGCTTCACGGACAATCACTCCAAAAAAGAAATCAAAAATAATGGCAAATGGCCTCGCTATACAATTTTTCGATTTTTGCGTGACACGTGTTGGCAGTCATTTGTGGTTCTGTCCATTTTTCGTTTAAACTTATCAAACAAAATACAAAATATATGTCGTGTGTAATTAAACCATAATTCGGTCATTAAAAGAAAATTCAAAAAATATATATGCCTCTTTTATTCTAGGTTGTGATTTAACCTACTTAAATATTTTCATATGTGTGTGATAATTAGGTTAAGTGATTAAATTAATGATGGTTTTTTTTTTAATTTCATTTTTTATTTTTTCTTTAAAAATTAGAAGAAAGGAGTAATGAAATTGGTTTGGGCCAAAAATGAATTAAAATCAGGCCCAAAACCAGGACACAGGTCCAGTCCAAACATAAGCTGCCCGGGTACGTCCCAAACGACGCCGTATCAGCGTCCCTATGCTAAGCCNTGTGGGAGGGGGGATTCGAACTGGAAAATCTGACTAAGTGTTCAGGATTAGAAGAAGCTGTCAAGTGTCAATTAAAATACTATTAATGGGGAACAAAACACAAGAGCATGGGAATTAAATGAATACTTTAAACTCATAACTCTTGATTAGAGCAATAGGACAAAGCATGAGGGGCTGATTAAGTTTACCAAGAAAAATGCCTTTAGGCATGGGGAGTTAAGGGGTATGGGCAGATTGCAACTGGCAGAATCCAGGCAGCTTGACTGCACTGGGTTGTTGGCTTATAAATAAGTTGTTGCGGAACTAAAAAAGGGCTGGACTTTTAGTCTTCAGAAAAAAAAGAAACCTAAAGAAATTTGCAGAATATTGTAACCAAGTACTGTCTGAAAACTGCTTAGGAGTTCAAGTTGGCCAAGCTGTCTTTGCTAATTGTTTGTGGGTTATTGGCCGAGCCGTTGGTGTCTTTTGAACTGCTGGTCCTGTTACATTGAGTACTCTGGCTTGCTATTTGATTCATCATTCTGTTTCTGGGATTGCTTGTCTGTTGCTCGACCATTTGCGAGCTTCATCATCGTGGCTGGTTGTTTGTTGCTGTGTTGTTGTTGTCTGTTACTGCTGTGACTGCTGCTTGGTTGCTTGCTGCTGACATCCTTCCTTTTCTTTTGTTTGGTTATCTGAATCCAGGTACACATACTAGGTCGATGTAATTCCATGTTTGAAGTTGACATTTGAAGCATGAATACACACATGAAGAAGTTGAAGCTATAAACTGAATTTAGTTTTTCTGCTGATTGTACTTAAACCATTTTGTGTATCAATAATGTGTAATTTCCTTCCAAGGAACTGTATAATTAGCTTATGAACTCCCTAGGTAAGTCCTTAGAGGGATATGAGGCTAGAAATCATCCTGCTTATTTCATGACGTTTGTAAAGATGCATTTTAGACTTGAATCAAGTAAATGAACTTCTAATTGTCATAATAGTCTAATCTCAGTATACAAAATGGTTCGAATCAGGACTAAAGCTTGATCTTAAAGTCCTTTCATGACAACAAATAACCTATTTTAAACTTACAATAGACTGTTAAATGAAATAGTATCATTTTATCTTCCAGTTTGCAAACTCACGAATAGGCGTAAGAACAAGTAGTTAGGCTAATATCGGAATAAGGAAAGCCAAGTCCAGTGTAATACCATATGCGTTGGACCCAAGCCCACACGTGCCTTTGTATTTGGAAACTCATAAATTTTATCTCTTGTTTGGGGTTCGACTATAAATACTTTAAGTATGTAATGGGGCTAGGATCTTCTGCTCTCTGTCATTCTAGAGACGGACAAAAATAGAAGAACGTAGTCGCTTTACGATATCCTTTTTTTAAAAAAATAAATAAAAATGAAACGAGCCTCGCCAAATAAAAGGGACAAATTGCGGGGCCCTCACAAAATATACGTATTAAATATTTAGATTCCAGGACGGACCATTTAGCAAATTTCACGGCACTACCCAAAATAATAATGCGCTAGTTGCTTTAGGCGCGCCTTTAATAATATTATCTCCTTAAGCTCGGGTGCACATTTATGTGACCCAAATCCAAGTCTCAATGAAATCGAAATGTGTCTCTAATCACGGGTACATTGATTGTGACGTGGTCCGAGATGCATTTCCATGACGTTGTAAATTCCTTTTAATAATAAAATGAGACGAGCCTCGACAAACAAAAAATGTAGAAGTTGCGGGGCCCTCTAAAGGCATATATATTAAAATACTTAGAATTCGGGACAGGCCGTTTAACAAATTTTACGGCCTTCCCCAAAATAACAATACGTTAGTTGCTTTAGGAGCGTCTTAATAATTTATTCTCCTTAATTCGGGTGCACATTTATGTGACCCAAATCCAAATCTCAACCGAGTCGAGATATGTCAATAACCACGGGTGCATTGATGTAACGTGGTTCGAGATATGTTTTCACGACGTTGCAAGTCCTATAAAAATAACAGTGAATGATAAAAGCGGTTAAAAGATAAAATTGGCACATAAGTTCACATTTGTATAAAATCAGATAATCAAGCCGAATATAACAGTTGAGCGACCGTGCTAGAACCACGGAACTCGGGAATGCCTAACACCTTCTCCCGGGTTAACAGAATTCCTTATCCGGATTTCTGGTACGCAGACTGTAATATGGAGTCATTCTTTTCCTCGATTCGGGATTAAAATTGGTGACTTGGGACACCCTAAATCTCCCAAGTGGCGACTCTGAAATAAATAAATAAATCCCGTTTCGATTGTCCTTTTAATTAGAAAAAAAACTCCCCTGTACTCTCGCGGGTACGAAAAAAGGAGGTGTGACAATTACTATTCAGATGAAGCTGCTAATTTTGAGACAAATCCAAATGATGTTGATGATAAAGGTGAAGGAGAGGTTCAACAGAAAGTTAAAGATAGAAGAAGAGTTTAGAAGGTAAGATAGGTGGTAATAAGCCTTATTACCATTCAGATAAAGCTGCTAGTTTTGAGACAAATCCAGATGATGTTGATGATGAAGGTGAAGGAGAGGTTCAACAGAAAATTAAAGCTAGAAGAATAAAAGAGTAATCTTTGACAAGACTTGCAAGAAAATAGTTTAGGAAACTGGACTTGCATTTGCAAGTGTGAGAGATTTCAAAGAAAATGTAACTAAATATGTTGTTCAACAAACGGTTTCTATAGAAAAGTATATAAATGAACCTACAAGGGTGAGGGTTAAGTTCCTGTCCTTGGCTTCTAGTTGCTAGTTATGATTCTAGGACTAAGGATTTTGTAGTCAAGAACTACAATCCA